TCCGGAAACCCTGAACCCAAAAACGATTTCATCTCTTGGGGGCAATTTTTGTTTAATTCCGCCGCCTTCCGCCGAGTTTCCGCCGCCTTACGCCAGCGGAGGCGGTCTCGTTTTACTTCCGCCGAGCTTCCGCCGACCTTCCGCCGCATTCCGCCGCGGAAGAGATGACAACTCCTTCGATCCTCGAAGGCAGGGCCATTTTTGGAACGCCTCATCTTTCACCGCAAACACGCCACTCACAGTTCGACTCGGCCATGCCGTGGCCCACGTCCGCTGCCACGCCACGGACCCCGGGCATCGCAGGCTCACGGAGGAAATGCTGCGAGATGCGCTGGGACAGTGCACGCACGTGCTGTCGAATCGGAATCGGAGGAGGGGTGGGGGGGGGCGAAGGGAGGAAAAGGGGCCAGGGTGCTGCGCGGAGATCCCCTGCGGCCGAGACGGCCGCTTCTAGACCGCGAGAACGCACAACGGCACACCTGAGGGCAAGGAAGAGGAACAGATAGAACGACACGCCGCAGCGGAGGGGGCATGTTGAGAGAAAGAGAGACGCAGGAAGAGAGAAAGAAAGAGAGAGAGTGAGAGAGAGAGAGAGAGAAGCGAGCACACCAGGACGTTGCCAGGGGAGAAAGGAAAAACGTATTCCGACTGAGTAATTGTCGATCCCGGCAGGGGGGCATGCGCTTACCCCATTGTACGATCCTGACCCTTTCCCCCCGCGCTCCCTCTCCTTCTGCCCATGACGTTTAATGCTATACTGGTTTCTCCATCTCCTCTCCCTAACCCTCCAAGAATCTGATCGCCTACAGACGACCGCGGTCTCCGGGTAGCTGGACTCAGCAATGAGCTGCACGGACTGCACATACAGGACGTAAAGGAAAGTTCGCTCCTCTCGCGGGCCCTCCACCTCCGCAGCATCCCAGCAGCATTCCCCTTCTCTTCCTCCTCCTCCCCCTCCTCCTCCTTATTCTCCTTCTCCTCCTCTTCTTGATCGTGGCTGCCCTTGTTGCTCTCATCGGCCTGCTCCTGCTCCTTCTCCGCCGATTCCACACCCTCCTCTTGCGCCTTGTCCTTTAGCATTCTCCTCCTCCTCCTCCACCTCCTCCTCCTCCGTTCTGCTCCTCCCCATCGTCTTCCCTCCTCGTCTCAACCCTCCTCCTCCTCATCCTCCTCCTCCTCCTCCTCCTCCTCCTCCTCCTTCCGCGCGCCTCCTCAGTTCTCTTCTCGGCACCAGCACTCTGACATTCGGCGGCGGCAACAGTACAACGCTGCATCAATGCAACACGCCCCCTCGATAACCCATGCAATCAGTTATTAGCTGGGCTCGTGTTGTCGACATGTAAGATGACAAGCCCAGCCGGTGTCCACCAGCCCAGAATCAGTCCTTATTGTCGCACGCCGCGCTGCGAGAGCATTGTGTGCCACGTGAATGACGGCGGCCTCAATCACCCAATGCTCGCGCCCATTACTATACCAAAACCCAGAGACTGCGAGCGTTTCATCGACTTGTCATTATCACATCAATACTGACCGTCTGATCATTCTCAGATTAACACTCACGAGGCAGTCTGCTAGAATCACAATGCTTATGGCCATCACGAACCTCTCGCCTCATCTTAGCGCTCGTGAGCTTCAGGCCGTCAATATCAGCAGTGTCCAGACTTCGACCCCCATTCACAAGCGCTCCAGAGGCGCTCACAAGCGCTCCAGAGGCGCTCACAAGCGCTCCAGAAGCGCTCACAAGCGCCCCAGAGGCGCTCACAAGCGCTCCAGAGGCACTCACAAGCGCTCCAGAGGCCGCGCGGAGAGGCTGGTAGTAAGCTCGCAGAAGGTCTTCGAGAAGCTTCAAAACCTTCATAAGATTTCTGTAACTGGGGAAGAACCCAGCTTACCGGGAAATACCCCAGTCTACCGGGAAAAGGAATTATTTTCTTGGGGGCAGTGGGAGCTTCCCGAAGGCCGCTTCCAGGGTTCCTGGGGCCTCTTGGAAACCTCTCGGGGGCTCTCCCGGGGGCCACTTGGGGCCTGCTGGGGGTCTTTTAGAGCGAAGAGCCTGTGAGAGGGGCGATCGGGCAATGCTACCAGTCTGCTATACCCACCACCTGCGGGATGGCGCCTGCATAGGGCACATGGCCGCAGGACACCCCGCAGAGACGCGCGCGCCTTGAGGGTCACGCACAGAGAGGAGTCTGCAGGTGTCGCCACCGGCCTGGCCTGGGACGTCTCCCACACCCCCCCTTACGACACGCGATCACGCACGTCATCGGGTGGCGGAAGTAGAACAGGAGATGGAGCAGACCTGGCCGGGCAGACCTCGCAGCGACAGCAATCCAGAAGAGGCGGTCGGAGAGAAGCGTCAAAATGTGCACCTGGGGGAGACAGAGACCACAAGATGGACGTGTGTGCACGACGTCACAATGGGCACCTGAAAGCACAATATGAACAGGATATAGATTGCGGGCTGGCCAACCACTTTGTAGGAGAAGAACAGGAAATGCACCTGACGACAACGACCGAGAAAGGAAGCAACACTGAGAGTGCGTCTCTCGACTGACACCTGTGCGAAAACAGAACTAGAGGAGGGAAAGGTAAAGAGAAACAGGATGAGGAACATGTCGATATGCACCTGCGGGGAGGCAGCGAGCTCGACGCGACGACCCCCCCGACGAGAGACGGCGTGGCAAGAGAAAAGAGAAGACAATGATGAGGAGGAACGTGTCGATATGCACCTGTGGGGAGGCGCAACAATGTGAGCTCGACACAAGTCGCAGGGCTCAACTGCCCACAGGTCCTGGAGCACCGACAGATCGGCCCCCCCGACACGAGACGACACGATAGAATAGAAAGAAGGAGGAAGACAAGAAAGACGGAGATGCGTTGCCCCCGCCCAAAATGGGCTGCTCTTGTCGATTGGGGGCGCCGGCTCCGCCCAAAATGGGCTGCTCTTATCGACAAGAGCCGGGCTCTGGCCACCTCGAGCACCTGTTTTCGTGCTCCTTTGCAAGAGGTGCCAGTTTGCGGGGCTGTGACCCCCCCGCAGAGGTTTCTGACTTGTCCAAGGAGAAATTGGAGAGGGAGGGGGGGCCAGACCCGACTCCGAGGAGACGTGGGGAGGCGAACTCCCACGACGCCCAGAGGCTGCGGGACTGAACCCACCAGAAGAACAGAGGAGGGAGGGGCCAGACCCGACTCCGAGGAGACGTGGGGAGGCGAACTCCCACGACGCCCAGAGGCTGCGGGACTGAACCCACTAGAAGAAGAGAGGAGGAAAGGGAAAAGGGGAAGGACCCCCCCGATGAGAGACATCCGTCTCCAAGCGCCTTCAAGAGGAGAAGAATAGGGATCTGCGCAGAGCCGCTGCGGGGTCCACCACGAGGACTCAACCTGTAGTTGTGGATGCTGCGGGCCCAGCGCAAACGAGGGTCCGAATGTGCAGAGCAAGTCTGCGACAACCGTCACCCACAAACAAACAATCACAAGGTCATGAGCCAGCAGCGAGCACCTTCCGGGCCGCCCTTGCGCCTGCGCGCGAGGTAGTCCGTCGCGCAGGGAGAGGAAGAACGAGAGGAGTAACCTGATTTCTGGACGCTGTTCGAGCAGCGCTATTTCGAGATGTGACTTACTGTCTCTGTTTCAGAGCACTGGGAAAGTTGACATAAAGGAAATGCCCCACCACCACGGAGCCCCGTGGCATGTAAACAGGGCGCCCCCGCCGCGCTGGTTACTCTTCACGATAAGGAGAACGAAATGCTTGTCCGACGTGTGGTCCGCCGCCGTCCAACATCCTGCAACCTGTCAGAGATGGGGGCGAAATCGTAAACCGAAGGAGGGGAGGCCAGCCGGCCGGTCTGGGCCCGCCCAACACGTCACTCTGCCAGGACGCTGGGATTCCGCGCACGCACATACAGAAGCGCAAAGGAGAAAGAAGACGGGCACAAGGGAGAGACAACTGGTCGACATTGCGCGGCGTGCAGCAATCGCTCCGACATGAATGTGGGCACGGTGACAACATGCACAATCATAAGCATGAAAGGAAGAAAAGAAGGACGCATGGGTGGGAAGGGAGAAGCAATGGATGGATGGATATGGGGAAGGACAACAGAAAGCGAGAAGAGGAGGGCGTCGAAGTGCACCTGCGGGGGCGCCCCACCCCGATGCAAAACGACGTGAGAGAATGGAATAGAGAGCTGGATAATGAGGGACACATCGAGAAGTCTCAGTCGCGTTAGAAGCTCTGTGACAGCAATGCGCAGCTGCGCCCAGCCAAGGCGACGAGGGCGCAGCTGGTGTTGCCACCGGCGGGGAGGACGCCAGATCAGCTCCAACAGAGGCAATCAACGATGGATCACAAAACGCATAAAGAATGGGCAAAGAGGGTCGTCACATCATCTGAAGCAATCGCGCCGTCCTCCGAATGGCGCCGAAGGCCGCATGAAGAAATGACGTAGCACACGCTCTCAGAGACTGACAGCGTCGGTCTCGCAACTCCGGCAAAGCGGCTGATAACCTGTGAGAGGGGCGATCGGGCAATGCTACCAGTCTGCTATACCCACCCCCTGCGGGACGGCGCCTGCATAGGGCACATGGCCGCAGGACACCCCGCAGAGACGCGTGCGCCTTGAGGGTCACGCACAGAGAGGAGTCTGCAGGTGTCGCCACCGGCCTGGCCTGGGACGTCTCCCACAGAGCCTAACATGTTCCTCTCTGGAGGTTTTCTTGGAGCGTTCCTGGGGCCTTCGGAGGCCGTCTTGGAGACCTCTTGGGCCGTCCTGGGGGCGTATTGGACTGCCTGGGCGCTCTCTTGGGGGCCTCTGGGGCCGTCTTGGGGCGATCTTTAAGATTTCGTGGCCTGTCTTGGGGCGTCGGGAGACCGAAAGCGCAAGAGCCCGAAACACCTTCAAAAACCCAACAAAAATCAATGCATTTTGACTCTAGGGGCTCTCTTGGAAGGCCTCTCGAAAGCCTCCCGAATCGTCCTGGGAGCTCCCTGGGCCGTCTGGACGCGATCTTGGGGGCCTCCTTGGGGCATCTAGGGGCCTCCTAGGGTTTTCTGCGGGCGGAGAGCCTGGATGGTCGGTCCCTGCCCCCCCCTCTGGAGGTTTTCTTGGAGCGTTCCTGGGGCGTTCGGAGGCCGTCTTGGGGACCTCTTGGGCCGTCCGGGGGCGTATTGGGCCGTCCGGGGGCGTATTGGACTGCATGGGCGCTCTCTTGGGTGCCTCTTAAACCGTCTTGGGGCGATGTTTGAAACCCTTTGGGCTGTCTTGGAGCGTCGGGAAGCTGAGAACGCGGGAACCCGAAAAACCTTCAAAACCCACCGCAAACCAATGAATTTTGACACTTGGGGATCTCTTGGAGGACCTCTTGGAAGCCTCCCAAGGCGTCCTGGGAGCTCCCTGGGCCGTCTGGACGCGATCCGGGGGGCCTTCTGGGGGCCTCTAGGAGCCTCCTGGGGTCTTTTTAGGCGGAGAGCCTGAAATGTTGGTCCCTGCCCCTCCTCTGGAGGTTTTCTTGGAGCGTTCCTGGGGCCTTCGGACCTCTTGGGCCGTCCGGGGGGCGTATTGGACTGCCTGGGCGCTCTCTTGGGTGCCTCTTAGACCGCCTTGGGGCGATTCTTGGGACCCCTTGGGCTGTCTTGGAGCGTCGGGAAGCCGAGAACGCGGGAACCCGAAAAACCTTCAAAACCCACCGCAAACCAATGAATTTTGACACTTGGGGATCTCTTGGAAGACCTGTCAGAGGCCTCCCAAGGCGTCCTGGGAGCTCCCTGGGCCGTCTGGACGCGATCCGGGGGGTCTTCTGGGGGCCTCTAGGGGCCTCCTGGGGTCTTTTTGGGCGGAGAGCCTGATATGTTGGTCCCTGCCCCTCCTCTGGAGGTTTTCTTGGAGCGTTCCCGGAGCCTTCGGAGGCCGTCTTGGAGGTCTCTTGGGTCGCCTGGAAGGCGTCTTGGACTGTCTGGGCGCTGTCTTGGGGGCCTCTTACGCCGACTCGGGACGATCTTTGGGACCTCTTGGGCTGTCTGGGAGCGTCGGGAAGCCGAAAACGCGGGAACCCGAAACACCTTCAAAAAACCCAACAAAAATCAATGCATTTTGACTCTAGGGGCTCTCTTGGAGAGCCTCTCGGAAGCCTCCCGAGTCGTCCTGGGAGCTCCCTGGGCCGTCTGGACGCGATCTTGGACGGCCTGGATCGACCTGCTGGCGACCCTGGGTCCTCTTGGACCATCTTACAGATCATCTTGGGGCCGCCCGTGCCGCACGGAAGCGCGTCTGCCGAAGTGGGGCCGTCATCCGCCGGCTTCCGCCGGCGTGCGCTCCGCGGGACCCCCCCAGGGGAGCACTAAACGGGAACCCCTCCGCAAGGTCGGAGAAAAAAACAGCGCTGAAGGTCTTGGGCTGCCTCTCCTCCCAGGGTTCGGTGGCAACTCATGGGAGCATCCTTGTCGGCTCTTGCGAATCGACGCTAATCGACGCTAGATCGACGCTAATCGACGCTAAATCGACGCTGATCGACGCTAACCGACGCTAAATCAGCGCTATCTCATCGACTCCAGACGCTAATCGACGCTAATGGATGCTAAAGACGTAATTCAGAGGGTGTACCAGGCTCCCATGTTTTGCCACCGAAGCAGGGTGCCGCTCACCTCAGGCTCTCTCTCTCTCTCTCTCTCTCTCTCTCTCTGCGCCCTCGGCATGGTCCAGGCCTTTACCTCGCTCGACCCCTTGGACGTCAGGCGAATTTGGACCAGCGGGACTGGTACGAGTTTACACCGCCTGCTTGCGCGCGCGGACTGGCCTCGGCCTCTCTTCGGCGCCGCCGCTGCTGGCGCGCAGCCAGTATCGCGATCCACCTGGTGCCGCCCAGGCCTGATGCCCAGGCGGCGAAGGCTTCATTGTGGATCCATTTCGCCCGCAGCGTGCCCTTCACCCTGGGCCTCACTTGGATCAGCTGGGGTCGTAGCGTCTGCACGGAAGCCGCTGACACGTGGTGGTGCACCCTCCTCTGGAGGTTTTCCTGGAGGTTTTCTTGGAGCGTTCCTGGGGCCTTCGGAGGCCGTCTTGGAGGTCTCTTGGGTCGCCTGGAAGGCGTCTTGCAGCGCGCCCTTCACCCTGGGCCTCACTTGGATCAGCTGGGGTCGTAGCGTCTGCACGGAAGCCGCTGACACGTGGTGGTGCACCCTCCTCTGGAGGTTTCCCTGGAGGTTTTCTTGGAGCGTTCCTGGGGCCTTCGGAGGCCGTCTTGGAGGTCTCTTGGGTCGCCTGGAAGGCGTCTTGCAGCGCGCCCTTCACCCTGGGCCTCATTTGGATCAGCTGGGGTCGTAGCGTCTGCACGGCAGCCGCTGACACGTGGTGGTGCACCCTCCTCTGGAGGTGTTCCTGGAGGTTTTCTTGAAGCGTTCCTGGGGCCTTCGGAGGCCGTCTTGGAGGTCTCGTGGGTCGCCTGGAAGGCGTCTTGCAGCGTGCCCTTCACCCTGGGCCTCACTTGGATCAGCTGGGGTCGTAG